TCATTCAACTTTCTGTAGTCCACACAAAATCGGGTGCTTCCGTCTTTCTTCTTGACCAAGACCACTGGGGAGCACCATGGACTTGACGATGGTTCTATTACACCACTCTTTTCCATTTCACTTATCAGCTTCTGAACCTCGTCTCTTTTTGCCAGGGGAACACTTCTTGGAGGCTGTTTAATGGGTCTCGCGTCTGCTGTATTGATTTCATGCTTCACCACTGATCTTCTTCCTTGGTGCTCTTTTGTCAACGCAAAGGTAGAGGCATATTTCCATAATAGCTGCTTAGCCTTGTTCCTCTCGGAAGGTGATAATTGGTGTGTCCACTCTTTTATGTAGCCATCGAGGCGCTTCTTCTCCATGGCAGCTGGCTTTTCGGTGCTAGTTTCCAAATTAACTACAGCTTCAGCTGGTGTGCATTGTCCAACATCGGAAAATTGGCAAATTTGCTCTTGCTTGTTTGACAGGTTCAAAACTCTAACAGGAATTAATCCGTCCTTGTTGCTTTTCACCAGGGCATTCGCTATTAGGATGTTACTGTTTCTGTTTTCTGCTGGTTCCACCACCCACAACTTCTCGGCTCCACAATCTCCATTCATTGGTACCCATATTATTGCTTCGGCACAGGGCGGTATTATCTCTGGATGGTCCGTGGTCAGACGTCTAATGGGTGTACTTTCATCGTAGCCCACGTTTAACGGAATTTCGACGTTAGACCAGGTCATCACACGTTCTTTCATATCCAGATTGATACCAAAGGCAATCATAAAATCTGCGCCTATTATCACTTCGTCTACGATATCGGCAACTATAAACTCGTAATTCTCCGATTTATTGGCAATAGTTAGTCTCAGGGTAATCTTGCCGTGTACTGCCGCGGGCTCCCCCGTTGCTGTGCGCAGTCTGACTCCATTAAGTTGCGTTATTTTTCCCTTTACCAGATCTGATCTTACGATGGACTTTGATGCGCCAGTATCTAACGTCAGAACTCGCTTATCACCATTGATGTACCCAGTTGTTGTTAGGTTGTGACTTTCCTGTTGTACTATTGCTATGGAGATTGTGGGGCCATCGTCGATGGGAGCCAGTTCATGCCCCGCTGGACTGGCTCGATTTAGTTTAACTGTGACTCATTGGTGGACTGTTGGGCCATTCTTCTACCATCTTTCGTTGGAGGTGGTGACGATGACCTGGATCGTTTGCGCTTAGCTCTGCATTCGCGCGCAATATGACCTGCTTTATCGCAGTTGTAGCATCTAACCCTGGGCTTAGTCATCCCAACTAACTTTGTCTCTTCTATTACCCGCCTCATGGCGTCTTCGATCGAGTTAACGAGAGATTTGGGTTCGCAACCTTCGGTCTCCAGTTGGCGAATCTTGTGGGTCTGGGGCTTAACAACTATTCTTGCCGTGTCTTGGGCAAGGGCAAACGACACAGTTTCGGAAAATGATGCTTTTGGTGACGCATATGTTGCATACTTAATCTCAGGGTCACGTATGCCATTCACAAAGGTTTCGATTTTCATACGGTCCAGCAATGGGCGATCCTCTCCTGGATACGTCATTAGCACCAAACGTTCCACCTCAGCTGCAAAGTCTTGTAACGTCTCGTTTGCCCTCTGTACTCTTCCCCTTAATTCCATAAGGTAGATGTTTCGTTTATGTTCGCCACCGTACTTACGTTCCAGTGCAGCAATAACATCTTCATAGTTGTTTCTAGAAGCGACAGGAATACTCTGTATAACATCAGCAGCACTGCCCTTCAATGCCAACCGCTTCAATGCAACCGCTTTGTCGCTGTCGTTCCACGAATTTCTAGAAGCCACTGTCTCGAACTGTTACTTGAAAGCATTGAATGACGTAGAGCCGTCGAATACAGGAGGTTTGATTTTTAGTGTGTTATCAGGAACTCGCACCGGACCACCTTTGATTTCCAGTTCCGAAATTTTCTTCTCCGGATTTGTAACCCTATGGTCGTGGGACAGAAATTTCTCGTCAACCGACTGCACTTTCTTATCCAACTCTTTAATTTGGACCTCCATGGTTTCCATTCTCCTTCCAATAACTTCTGTAATGTACTCGAGTTTCTCGTTCGTTATTCTCGAATTTTCTTCGACTCTTCTGAAATTTTCCTCAAACATTTTGGCTAGCATTTCTCTGAAATCGTCACCCCTGGCAGCTACTGACGAGACTTCCCCACCGTTGGATTCGCCCATTTCCGATAAATCCACTTCATCCTTACTGTCAAACTCATATGTATCGATGTTCATACCACGGCGCTCGAACTCATCCAACAGACGTTTTTGTAGTTCAGCCTTGTTGCCAGTAGAGGACAATTCCAATTTATTAAGTTCCTTCTTCAAGTCTTCCACTCGTAGATCCTTAAACTTCATCGTAGTATTATCGTAATCTCACTTCCGACACCAATTGTTACGTTCTTGGATTTTACTTAATCCCGTGTAGACGTTGTTTTATTTCCCAATACAGCTCGTACCAAATAAAACGCGGGTTCTTTCGGATTACGATTATTACAATGATTTTATTCACACAACTTTACTTTGCACTCTACTTTACTCGACGGTTTCAATTCGCGATCTGATTCACAACTGACTAACTGCCTTTCCATTTCCCCTATTTATATGAGCCTCGCCTGTCGCTACAGAAGTTTCTAGACGATCTGGTAACGCCTAGATTACGAACAATCTACCAATGCAACGAACACATACAAACTTACATTGAGTGAACAATAACAACAACACATACAAACTTACATTGAGTGAACAATAACAACAACACATACACAGGCGAGGGGGTAACAAAGAAAGAGGAATTAAGCGATCATCAATGATGACGTTTAACAAGAATTGTACGTCAGCAACAAAATAGAAAATGAAAGAGGAAATGGAAGGATGTAGAAAAATCTATACAGTAGTTGTTGTTGTGAAGTTATTCAAATAAGCTGCGTAGTAGAAATTTACGTTACAATTCAAATTCTTAAATTAACGGAATTCATCTAAATTAACTTAAATCTAAAGTTATATTCGTAACAATATTAATGTCCAAAAGTTTAAGGCCTTTGCACTGGAAACGGCTAAAGAGTTAACAAATAGATATCCATGGCCCTATCTTCTACCCGCAGCTAATAAATTTTTAATACATGCCCCCGACATTATAAATTGTTCATTGTATCGATTGGAGAGTTATGGGAGTTGGCCGTGGAGTCTAGAAACAAAGATATAAAAAAGTTTCGACTAAATCATACTCGAAAAAATTATTAACCGTCTTCTTCTGAGCTCTGACCCTTTTATAACGGGACAGCGAACGTTAGCAATCAATAAAAAATCTATATTATTAAAATCTGCACTTGATTTACTTGAATAACACTGAAATTTATAAATATCCATTAGAAACGTTCAATTAATTTTATATTGAATTGTTTATTTTGTTTACAAAAAAATGTATATTTTGTTTACAAAAAATAATCAAATTTGGAATTTTGATTTGTATAAAAATACTTCTATTTTTGGAGGTACCTTTACAGGGGGACTCTACCTGAAGGCGGGCCGTTCCAAATAATTGTCAGTAAGACTATTTCTTAGCTCTTTAGAACGTAAAATGTCAAATAACAGAACAATCTAGTGTAGAAATGTGACAAAAATTGGCGAAATAACCCTTATTCGGGAGGTACGTTGTAAGGGGACCATGCCAAAACATGCATCGACCATATCCATTTGGTCACATTTTTTATTTTTATCCCATCAAGGTACCATAACCAAAGAATCATTGATATCTGCACTGAAAGTATTTTTGGCCGCTGTTCCCATACGACCTCGACCACTGTGCAATGGTTGATGGTCTGTGTGAAAGTGTGCAATGCTGTAACCAACACGACCTCAACTAGCCGATGCTGTATGACACTTGACCACATTCATCAATTGACGCCACTTCCAAAGATTTCAATAATTTGAGCAAAGAGAACGAGATAAGTGCCAATGCTCTTGAGTTTAGAATTTCAGTATTGTACGTAAAAATACGTATTTTTGAAAGCATTCTGCATTTGGCATATAAATTGCACGTGAAGAAATATGGAAAGAAAAGGACACAGGAAAAGATAGCATTAGAAGAAGAAAGGAAAAAAGAAATCCAAGAAAGATTCTGCGTGGATACTGGGCTGTTGGTGGACATGCCTAAAGCCAATTTTGGTAATACCAATGATGGCAATACGAGTAGGAGATTTTTTAAAAACACAGAATTAGCGGCGGACATTACAGGCAAAAACCACGAATTAATACATAGATTTAAAATCTTATTAGAGGCGATTTTAAGTGGACACATAATATATACAACAAAATTCGAAGAATATGCCTTCAACACCGCGCAACTGTATGTGGAATTATACGACTGGCATCACGTGTCTCCATCAATGCATAAATTACTATTACATGGGGCCACCATCATTGATAATTCACTGTTTCCAATCGGCTAATTGTCTGAGGAGGCTGCAGAAGCTCGAAATAAACATTTTAGGTCATATAGACAGAATTTTCAAGAATTTTTTAAGGGAAGAATGCTTCTTAATTCAGATCCACTCATAAGTAGTGAAAGATTAATAAGACAATTTAATTTGTTCCGCGTTGCCGTCCCGTAGTTTTTGTCTATTATGCATATTTGTCAAAACATAATAATTCACAGATATGACTGATATAAGAGTTCACGTACTGGTCGATTAAAAGTGTTTTAAAATACCTTTACCCATATTTAATACGTGGACTACAATATTTAAACCGTGGACTTCAAATATGTGGATGTGCTTTACAAATCTATTAAAAATAACATATCAATCTTATCGCCATGTAAGGGATTAAATCAATTTTTTGTATGGTAACAATCGTAGCAAAATTTTCGAGATGAAATAATTTGGAATTTACTGTATTTTGTACACCTCATAACTTAGGGCTCAATGATTTAATAATAGCCTTAGATTGGAGTCTGGGACGACGATCAAGTTCCGGTGAGATTTACCGTCCTCACTTTCCCATTTGCGATATAGGCAACCATCTATTATAAGTAGACTGTCCCACTGGGCCCAATAGGATTTTAAAAGAGGGCTTTCGGAGGTAATTTCTTTGCGACTAGGTCGTTTGCCCGTTTCTATGGCCGAAATTACTTTGCCCAGAATGGGATCTCTTCGTTGTTCCGTCGACCAATCTTCACCCGACTCAAATTGCAATAGTCGGACATCAACGATATTCTCTTTATTCTCAGCCTTTGAGCAGTGTTTGCATTCTACTTTGCATGGCCGACGAGACAGGGCATCAGCATTACCGTGTTTTCCGCCTTTTCTGTGCTCGATTCGGAAGTCATAACTCTGGAGCCTCTCGATCCAACGGGCTAGTTGACCTTCCGGATTCTTAAACTGCAGCAACCATTGGAGAGCAGCGTGGTCGGTCCTCAGCAGGAAATGCTGGCCATATAGGTATTTGTGGAAGTGTTTAACGCACTCAAGGACAGCAGCTCTCTCCTCGTCACACAGTAATTCCTCTCAGGTTTCGACAATGTCCGGCTGTAGTACCCGATGACTTTTTCCTGTCCGTCGATTTCCTGGGAAAGGACGCCACCGATGCCGCACGCACTTGCGTCTGTGTCCAGAACAAACTTGCCGCCAGGTATAGGGTATGCCAAAATGGGGGCTCTGCATAGCATGTCTTTGAGCTTTCTGAATGCCTCCTCCTGGTCGTTGCCCCACTGAAACCTCTGGCCTTTTTGCGTCAAACGGTGTAGACAGGCGGCGATGTTGGCAAAATTTTGGACAAATCGACGGTAGTATGTGCAGAGACCCAGAAAGCTTCGCAGCTCATGGAGATTTCGGGGCTGCGGCCAATCTCTGACGGCTTGAATTTTCTCCTTATCCGTCGATATGCCCTCCGGCGTCACGTGGTGCCCCAGGAACTTCACCTCTCGTTGGAAGAGACTGCACTTCTTTGGGTTCAGCTTGAGGCCTGAAGACGAAAGCTGCTGTAGAACATCCTTTAAGTTCTTGATGTGTTTGTCGAAGTTGCGTCCCATGACTATGATGTCATCCAGGTATATGAGGCACGACTTCCACTGCAGCCCTTTTAACACACGCTCCATCAGCCTTTCAAATGTAGCCGGGGCGTTGCAGAGTCCGAATGGCATGACATTGAACTGCCAGAGACCCCCATTTACGCCAAACGCTGTTTTCTCCTTATCTTTCTCGGCGATCTCTACTTGCCCGTACCCACTCTGCAGGTCGAGGGTGGAGAACCATGACGTCACGGCTAATGTGTCCAATGTGTCATCGATTCTTGGGAGCGGATAGCTGTCTTTCTTGGTGACATCATTCAACTTTCTGTAGTCCACACAAAATCGGGTGCTTCCGTCTTTCTTCTTGACCAAGACCACTGGGGAGCACCATGGACTTGACGATGGTTCTATTACACCACTCTTTTCCATTTCACTTATCAGCTTCTGAACCTCGTCTCTTTTTGCCAGGGGAACACTTCTTGGAGGCTGTTTAATGGGTCTCGCGTCTGCTGTATTGATTTCATGCTTCACCACTGATCTTCTTCCTTGGTGCTCTTTTGTCAACGCAAAGGTAGAGGCATATTTCCATAATAGCTGCTTAGCCTTGTTCCTCTCGGAAGGTGATAATTGGTGTGTCCACTCTTTTATGTAGCCATCGAGGCGCTTCTTCTCCATGGCAGCTGGCTTTTCGGTGCTAGTTTCCAAATTAACTACAGCTTCAGCTGGTGTGCATTGTCCAACATCGGAAAATTGGCAAATTTGCTCTTGCTTGTTTGACAGGTTCAAAACTCTAACAGGAATTAATCCGTCCTTGTTGCTTTTCACCAGGGCATTCGCTATTAGGATGTTACTGTTTCTGTTTTCTGCTGGTTCCACCACCCACAACTTCTCGGCTCCACAATCTCCATTCATTGGTACCCATATTATTGCTTCGGCACAGGGCGGTATTATCTCTGGATGGTCCGTGGTCAGACGTCTAATGGGTGTACTTTCATCGTAGCCCACGTTTAACGGAATTTCGACGTTAGACCAGGTCATCACACGTTCTTTCATATCCAGATTGATACCAAAGGCAATCATAAAATCTGCGCCTATTATCACTTCGTCTACGATATCGGCAACTATAAACTCGTAATTCTCCGATTTATTGGCAATAGTTAGTCTCAGGGTAATCTTGCCGTGTACTGCCGCGGGCTCCCCCGTTGCTGTGCGCAGTCTGACTCCATTAAGTTGCGTTATTTTTCCCTTTACCAGATCTGATCTTACGATGGACTTTGATGCGCCAGTATCTAACGTCAGAACTCGCTTATCACCATTGATGTACCCAGTTGTTGTTAGGTTGTGACTTTCCTGTTGTACTATTGCTATGGAGATTGTGGGGCCATCGTCGATGGGAGCCAGTTCATGCCCCGCTGGACTGGCTCGATTTAGTTTAACTGTGACTCATTGGTGGACTGTTGGGCCATTCTTCTACCATCTTTCGTTGGAGGTGGTGACGATGACCTGGATCGTTTGCGCTTAGCTCTGCATTCGCGCGCAATATGACCTGCTTTATCGCAGTTGTAGCATCTAACCCTGGGCTTAGTCATCCCAACTAACTTTGTCTCTTCTATTACCCGCCTCATGGCGTCTTCGATCGAGTTAACGAGAGATTTGGGTTCGCAACCTTCGGTCTCCAGTTGGCGAATCTTGTGGGTCTGGGGCTTAACAACTATTCTTGCCGTGTCTTGGGCAAGGGCAAACGACACAGTTTCGGAAAATGATGCTTTTGGTGACGCATATGTTGCATACTTAATCTCAGGGTCACGTATGCCATTCACAAAGGTTTCGATTTTCATACGGTCCAGCAATGGGCGATCCTCTCCTGGATACGTCATTAGCACCAAACGTTCCACCTCAGCTGCAAAGTCTTGTAACGTCTCGTTTGCCCTCTGTACTCTTCCCCTTAATTCCATAAGGTAGATGTTTCGTTTATGTTCGCCACCGTACTTACGTTCCAGTGCAGCAATAACATCTTCATAGTTGTTTCTAGAAGCGACAGGAATACTCTGTATAACATCAGCAGCACTGCCCTTCAATGCCAACCGCTTCAATGCAACCGCTTTGTCGCTGTCGTTCCACGAATTTCTAGAAGCCACTGTCTCGAACTGTTACTTGAAAGCATTGAATGACGTAGAGCCGTCGAATACAGGAGGTTTGATTTTTAGTGTGTTATCAGGAACTCGCACCGGACCACCTTTGATTTCCAGTTCCGAAATTTTCTTCTCCGGATTTGTAACCCTATGGTCGTGGGACAGAAATTTCTCGTCAACCGACTGCACTTTCTTATCCAACTCTTTAATTTGGACCTCCATGGTTTCCATTCTCCTTCCAATAACTTCTGTAATGTACTCGAGTTTCTCGTTCGTTATTCTCGAATTTTCTTCGACTCTTCTGAAATTTTCCTCAAACATTTTGGCTAGCATTTCTCTGAAATCGTCACCCCTGGCAGCTACTGACGAGACTTCCCCACCGTTGGATTCGCCCATTTCCGATAAATCCACTTCATCCTTACTGTCAAACTCATATGTATCGATGTTCATACCACGGCGCTCGAACTCATCCAACAGACGTTTTTGTAGTTCAGCCTTGTTGCCAGTAGAGGACAATTCCAATTTATTAAGTTCCTTCTTCAAGTCTTCCACTCGTAGATCCTTAAACTTCATCGTAGTATTATCGTAATCTCACTTCCGACACCAATTGTTACGTTCTTGGATTTTACTTAATCCCGTGTAGACGTTGTTTTATTTCCCAATACAGCTCGTACCAAATAAAACGCGGGTTCTTTCGGATTACGATTATTACAATGATTTTATTCACACAACTTTACTTTGCACTCTACTTTACTCGACGGTTTCAATTCGCGATCTGATTCACAACTGACTAACTGCCTTTCCATTTCCCCTATTTATATGAGCCTCGCCTGTCGCTACAGAAGTTTCTAGACGATCTGGTAACGCCTAGATTACGAACAATCTACCAATGCAACGAACACATACAAACTTACATTGAGTGAACAATAACAACAACACATACAAACTTACATTGAGTGAACAATAACAACAACACATACACAGGCGAGGGGGTAACAAAGAAAGAGGAATTAAGCGATCATCAATGATGACGTTTAACAAGAATTGTACGTCAGCAACAAAATAGAAAATGAAAGAGGAAATGGAAGGATGTAGAAAAATCTATACAGTAGTTGTTGTTGTGAAGTTATTCAAATAAGCTGCGTAGTAGAAATTTACGTTACAATTCAAATTCTTAAATTAACGGAATTCATCTAAATTAACTTAAATCTAAAGTTATATTCGTAACAATATTAATGTCCAAAAGTTTAAGGCCTTTGCACTGGAAACGGCTAAAGAGTTAACAAATAGATATCCATGGCCCTATCTTCTACCCGCAGCTAATAAATTTTTAATACATGCCCCCGACATTATAAATTTTTCATTGTATCGATTGGAGAGTTATGGGAGTTGGCCGTGGAGTCTAGAAACAAAGATATAAAAAAGTTTCGACTAAATCATACTCGAAAAAATTATTAACCGTCTTCTTCTGAGCTCTGACCCTTTTATAACGGGACAGCGAACGTTAGCAATCAATAAAAAATCTATATTATTAAAATCTGCACTTGATTTACTTGAATAACACTGAAATTTATAAATATCCATTAGAAACGTTCAATTAATTTTATATTGAATTGTTTATTTTGTTTACAAAAAAATGTATATTTTGTTTACAAAAAATAATCAAATTTGGAATTTTGATTTGTATAAAAATACTTCTATTTTTGGAGGTACCTTTACAGGGGGACTCTACCTGAAGGCGGGCCGTTCCAAATAATTGTCAGTAAGACTATTTCTTAGCTCTTTAGAACGTAAAATGTCAAATAACAGAACAATCTAGTGTAGAAATGTGACAAAAATTGGCGAAATAACCCTTATTCGGGAGGTACGTTGTAAGGGGACCATGCCAAAACATGCATCGACCATATCCATTTGGTCACATTTTTTATTTTTATCCCATCAAGGTACCATAACCAAAGAATCATTGATATCTGCACTGAAAGTATTTTTGGCCGCTGTTCCCATACGACCTCGACCACTGTGCAATGGTTGATGGTCTGTGTGAAAGTGTGCAATGCTGTAACCAACACGACCTCAACTAGCCGATGCTGTATGACACTTGACCACATTCATCAATTGACGCCACTTCCAAAGATTTCAATAATTTGAGCAAAGAGAACGAGATAAGTGCCAATGCTCTTGAGTTTAGAATTTCAGTATTGTACGTAAAAATACGTATTTTTGAAAGCATTCTGCATTTGGCATATAAATTGCACGTGAAGAAATATGGAAAGAAAAGGACACAGGAAAAGATAGCATTAGAAGAAGAAAGGAAAAAAGAAATCCAAGAAAGATTCTGCGTGGATACTGGGCTGTTGGTGGACATGCCTAAAGCCAATTTTGGTAATACCAATGATGGCAATACGAGTAGGAGATTTTTTAAAAACACAGAATTAGCGGCGGACATTACAGGCAAAAACCACGAATTAATACATAGATTTAAAATCTTATTAGAGGCGATTTTAAGTGGACACATAATATATACAACAAAATTCGAAGAATATGCCTTCAACACCGCGCAACTGTATGTGGAATTATACGACTGGCATCACGTGTCTCCATCAATGCATAAATTACTATTACATGGGGCCACCATCATTGATAATTCACTGTTTCCAATCGGCTAATTGTCTGAGGAGGCTGCAGAAGCTCGAAATAAACATTTTAGGTCATATAGACAGAATTTTCAAGAATTTTTTAAGGGAAGAATGCTTCTTAATTCAGATCCACTCATAAGTAGTGAAAGATTAATAAGACAATTTAATTTGTTCCGCGTTGCCGTCCCGTAGTTTTTGTCTATTATGCATATTTGTCAAAACATAATAATTCACAGATATGACTGATATAAGAGTTCACGTACTGGTCGATTAAAAGTGTTTTAAAATACCTTTACCCATATTTAATACGTGGACTACAATATTTAAACCGTGGACTTCAAATATGTGGATGTGCTTTACAAATCTATTAAAAATAACATATCAATCTTATCGCCATGTAAGGGATTAAATCAATTTTTTGTATGGTAACAATCGTAGCAAAATTTTCGAGATGAAATAATTTGGAATTTACTGTATTTTGTACACCTCATAACTTAGGGCTCAATGATTTAATAATAGCCTTAGATTGGAGTCTGGGACGACGATCAAGTTCCGGTGAGATTTACCGTCCTCACTTTCCCATTTGCGATATAGGCAACCATCTATTATAAGTAGACTGTCCCACTGGGCCCAATAGGATTTTAAAAGAGGGCTTTCGGAGGTAATTTCTTTGCGACTAGGTCGTTTGCCCGTTTCTATGGCCGAAATTACTTTGCCCAGAATGGGATCTCTTCGTTGTTCCGTCGACCAATCTTCACCCGACTCAAATTGCAATAGTCGGACATCAACGATATTCTCTTTATTCTCAGCCTTTGAGCAGTGCTTGCATTCTACTTTGCATGGCCGACGAGACAGGGCATCAGCATTACCGTGTTTTCCGCCTTTTCTGTGCTCGATTCGGAAGTCATAACTCTGGAGCCTCTCGATCCAACGGGCTAGTTGACCTTCCGGATTCTTAAACTGCAGCAACCATTGGAGAGCAGCGTGGTCGGTCCTCAGCAGGAAATGCTGGCCATATAGGTATTTGTGGAAGTGTTTAACGCACTCAAGGACAGCAGCTCTCTCCTCGTCACACAGTAATTCCTCTCAGGTTTCGACAATGTCCGGCTGTAGTACCCGATGACTTTTTCCTGTCCGTCGATTTCCTGGGAAAGGACGCCACCGATGCCGCACGCACTTGCGTCTGTGTCCAGAACAAACTTGCCGCCAGGTATAGGGTATGCCAAAATGGGGGCTCTGCATAGCATGTCTTTGAGCTTTCTGAATGCCTCCTCCTGGTCGTTGCCCCACTGAAACCTCTGGCCTTTTTGCGTCAAACGGTGTAGACAGGCGGCGATGTTGGCAAAATTTTGGACAAATCGACGGTAGTATGTGCAGAGACCCAGAAAGCTTCGCAGCTCATGGAGATTTCGGGGCTGCGGCCAATCTCTGACGGCTTGAATTTTCTCCTTATCCGTCGATATGCCCTCCGGCGTCACGTGGTGCCCCAGGAACTTCACCTCTCGTTGGAAGAGACTGCACTTCTTTGGGTTCAGCTTGAGGCCTGAAGACGAAAGCTGCTGTAGAACATCCTTTAAGTTCTTGATGTGTTTGTCGAAGTTGCGTCCCATGACTATGATGTCATCCAGGTATATGAGGCACGACTTCCACTGCAGCCCTTTTAACACACGCTCCATCAGCCTTTCAAATGTAGCCGGGGCGTTGCAGAGTCCGAATGGCATGACATTGAACTGCCAGAGACCCCCATTTACGCCAAACGCTGTTTTCTCCTTATCTTTCTCGGCGATCTCTACTTGCCCGTACCCACTCTGCAGGTCGAGGGTGGAGAACCATGACGTCACGGCTAATGTGTCCAATGTGTCATCGATTCTTGGGAGCGGATAGCTGTCTTTCTTGGTGACATCATTCAACTTTCTGTAGTCCACACAAAATCGGGTGCTTCCGTCTTTCTTCTTGACCAAGACCACTGGGGAGCACCATGGACTTGACGATGGTTCTATTACACCACTCTTTTCCATTTCACTTATCAGCTTCTGAACCTCGTCTCTTTTTGCCAGGGGAACACTTCTTGGAGGCTGTTTAATGGGTCTCGCGTCTGCTGTATTGATTTCATGCTTCACCACTGATCTTCTTCCTTGGTGCTCTTTTGTCAACGCAAAGGTAGAGGCATATTTCCATAATAGCTGCTTAGCCTTGTTCCTCTCGGAAGGTGATAATTGGTGTGTCCACTCTTTTATGTAGCCATCGAGGCGCTTCTTCTCCATGGCAGCTGGCTTTTCGGTGCTAGTTTCCAAATTAACTACAGCTTCAGCTGGTGTGCATTGTCCAACATCGGAAAATTGGCAAATTTGCTCTTGCTTGTTTGACAGGTTCAAAACTCTAACAGGAATTAATCCGTCCTTGTTGCTTTTCACCAGGGCATTCGCTATTAGGATGTTACTGTTTCTGTTTTCTGCTGGTTCCACCACCCACAACTTCTCGGCTCCACAATCTCCATTCATTGGTACCCATATTATTGCTTCGGCACAGGGCGGTATTATCTCTGGATGGTCCGTGGTCAGACGTCTAATGGGTGTACTTTCATCGTAGCC